TTCTTATACTTAGGGGGAAAGATTTCAGTCCTTCACTGTTGAATGTGAATTTAGCTCTGTTTTTTATTCTTATATGTCTCTTATCTTGAAGAAGTTCCCTTCTATTCCTAGTTTGTTGACAGGTTTATTGTTATTATTATTTTAAGTTTTGTATTTTCAGTAGACACAAAGTTTCACCATGTTGGTCAGGCTGGTCTCCAACTCCTGACCTCAAGTGATCTGCCCTCCTTGGCCTCCCAAAGTGAAGACTGTTCTTTGTAGGACAGGATTGAGCCGAGAGTCAGAAGAGCTGGATGTGGGGGAACGGATCCGGTGGATTCTAGAAGTTGGGAGTTGTTCAGCCTCACATGCCAGACCTTCAGGAAGGCTTCCTGTCACTATGTTTGCTCCTCATTCATTCAGCTAGCAGCCACTGAGTGCCTGCTGTGTGCCAAGCACCAGAATAAAGCAGTGAACAAGGAAGGACCTGCCCTAAGGTTGTACACTGTTTACCGGGACTGGGTGATGTAACAGGCAGTTAGAGTGGGCGGAGAGTTCTCTGCTGGGGAAGCCCAGGCAGTGGCCTGGGGAACACAGCACAGGAGCCTCCCAAGGTGGAGGTGGGTTGGAGAAAACTCTCCTTGTGCAGGCAGGAGGTCTAAGGACAAAGGAGGTCACCGGGAGGAGAAGTCATCAGTGGAGTGTCCCAGCCAGGAGTGACCGTGCTAGAAGAGCCTGAAGTAAGAGGAAACAGGAGGCCGCACGCAGTGGCTCACACCTGTAATCCCAGCACTTTGGGAGGCCGAGGTGGATGGATCACCTGAGGTCAAGAGTTCAAGACCAGCCTGGCCAACATGGCAAAACCCAGTCTCTACTAAAAATACAAAAAAATTAGCCGGGCGCGGTAGCACATGCCTGTGATCACAGCTCCTGGGGAGGCTGAGGCAGGAGAATTGCTTGAACCCGGGAGGTGGAGGTTGCCGTGAGCCGAGATCGAGCCACTGCCCTCCACTGGGCGACAGAGCAAGATTCCATCTCAAACAACTTAAAAAAAAAAAAAAAGGACTAACACGCTTTTTGGCCTTAGCCCACCTGCACCCAGGTGAATTTAAAAAATAATTAATTAAAAAAAAAAATGGAACAGGGGGCCTTGTAGAGGATCAGGGCTTCAAACCCTGGTGCGACCATGGCAGCTGGATAGATCTGTGGAATTAGGAACAACCCTGAATTGTGGCCCTGAGCAGAGGCTCTTAATGGGGGTGACAGTATGGGGATGGGGCCACCCACAAAGAAGCCCTGCCCCTGGCGCTCTGATAACCACCTCCCCCCAGCCACCCCCTGGAGCATCACTGGCACAGCAAACACCATTTGCAAAGGGTCTGGTGGTCTCCCTTTGCTGAGGGAGGAGAGAGGCCTTTCCCTGGGCATCTGTGGTAGGCGGCCCAGCTCTGGTCTGGCCTCTGGGCCCCTCCTAATGACCTCTTCCTACAGGTGTACCTGTCACTCATCCCCATCATCAGTGGTGTCCTGCTGGCCACCGTCACCGAGTTGTCTTTCGACATGTGGGGGCTCGTCAGTGCCCTTGCCGCCACGCTGTGCTTCTCGCTTCAGAACATTTTCTCCAAAAAGGTATTTGGACACCATCAGTGGACATGTATGGGGTGTCAGTGGTGTGCGGGGCGGCAAGCTGGTGGCATTGGAAAAACAGGCGGAGTAGAGATTTCTTTGGCATTGGAGCAGAAAAATCTTCATTGCCATTCTGCTGATATTCTTTCGGTCATTTTGCTTTTTAAATAGTGTATATTTTTTGGCCAGGTGCAGTAGCTCACACGCCTATAATCCCAGCACTTTGGGAGGCCAGGGCAGGCAGTTCACTTGAGGTCAGAAGTTCAACACCAGCCTGGCCAACATGGCAAAACCCCATCTCTACTAAAAATATAAAAATTAGCCGGGCGTTGTGGCATGCACCTGTAATCCCAGCTACTCCAGACACTGAGGCACAAGAATTGCCTGAACCCAGGAAGCAGAGGTTCCAGTGAGCTGCGATCACACCACTGCACTCCAACCTGGGCAACAGAGTGAGACCCTGTCTCAAAAAAAGTTAATGTGCTCAATGTGAAAAAAAATAAAGCTTTTTTTTTTTTTTTTTTTTTTTTCCTGAGACCGGGATGCACTGTTGTCTAGGCTGGAGTGCTATGGCATGATCATAGCTCACTGCAGCCCCAGTCTCTGGGGCTCAGGTGATCCTCACACCTTGGCCTCCCAAAGCACTGGGATTACAGGCATTAGCCACCATGCCTAGCTAAAAAGTTCCATTTAAAACAAAATTCCAAAACTTGTTGAAGCCAGGTGCAGTGGCTCACATCTGTAATCCCAGCACTTTGGGAGACCAAGGAAGGAGGATCCATTGAGGCCAGGAGTTTGAGACCAGCCTGGGCAACAGAGTGAGATCCCATCTCAAAACAATTATTGCTCTTCACTCCTGTGATAATCACACACTTTTCAGGTACCACGGTTAATGCAGTTTCCCTATTGGAAATACCAGTTATTTCCAACTTTTCATCATAAGGTATAACAGTCACTGTGTGTGATGTTTTCCTGTCTCAGTTATTTCATGATGATAGGCTTACAGTTCTCAGGTTCTCAGCTTACAGGATATGAAATGTTTATGACTCTTAATATAGTTGGTCTGGTCGTATTCTAAAAAGGCTATACCAATTTAGCCTCAAACCAGTGGAATTTCAGAGTGCCTACTTCACCATCACCAGCACTGAGTGTTACTGTTTTATTTGTGTTTTTTTTTTTCTCAGTCCTTTATGCATGGAACATGGTGCTTGTTTCAGACATGGGCTGTGTATGTTCTCATAGAGGCACGTGCAGGTTTGGTGTTCAAGCTCAGATGTCGGGGTTAATGTCCAGTCACTGTGTTTGGGGCCTGAGTAACTGGAGCCCTTTTTGCCACATATCATTTTAATCACTCTTTAAAGAGGCTTTCCCTTTCCAGGTCTTGAGAGATTCACGGATCCACCATCTCCGGCTACTCAACATCCTGGGCTGCCATGCCGTCTTCTTTATGATCCCCACCTGGGTTCTGGTGGACCTCTCAGCTTTCCTGGTCAGCAGCGACTTGGTGAGTTGGACAGCACCAAGAACACGCCGTTTCCTTGGCTAGCTCCAGAATAGGTGCTTTGTTGAGGAGCTGCAGCTGCGTGTTGACACTGGGGTGTTTTTCGGGCTCCTGGCAGCCAGCCCTTTCAGCAGGCGGCCCTCTGTGATGACTCAGTGCACCCCGTCGCGGAAGTGGGTTTCCTGTGTGTTTCCTTCTCTGCTGTGCTTGATCCCAGGTGCTGATGGCTCCTTTGTGTGCGCCAGTAGCATCGAGGAACAGAAGGTGACTCGTTCACGTCTTGGCAATATAGTCCACGTGGCACTTTGACTTTTTATTTTTACTCATTTTTTAATTTAAATGTTTAGTTTTTTTAGACCTCGCTCTGTTGCCAGGGATGGAGTGCAGCAGCATAATCATGACTCACTACAGCCTGGATCTCATTCCTAGGCTCCAGCAATCCTCCCGCCTCAGCCTCCTGAGTAACTGAGACTACAGGCGTGCACCACCACACCTAGCGAATTTGGCTTTTCTTTTTTGAGACAGAGTTTCGCTCTTGTTACCTAGGCTGGAGTGCAATGGCACGATCTCAGCTCACCACAGCCTCCGCTTCCTGGGTTCAAGCAATTCTCCTGCCTCAGCCTCCCAAGTGGCTGGGAATACAGGCTTGCGCCACCATGCCCAACTAATTTTTGTATTTTTAGTAGAGACGGGGTTTCACCATGTTGACCAGGATGGTCTCGATCTCTTGACCTCATGATCCACCCGCCTCAGCCTCCCAAAGTGCTGGGATTATAGGCATGAGCCACCGAACTCAGCCTTTTTTTTTTTTTTTTTTTATGTTTTTGGAGAGACAGAGTCTCACTGTATTGCCCAGGCTGGTTCTGAACTCCTGGCCTTAAAAGATCTGCTGTGGCCTCCCGAAGTACTGGGATTACAGGTGTGAGCCACTGTGCCTGGCCTGAAACTTTTGAAAACTGCGCTGGCTGGATACGGTGGCTCAAGCCTATAATCCCAGCACTTTGGGAGGCCAAGGTGTGTGGATCACCTCAGGGCAGGAGGTCAAGACCAGCTTGACCAATATGGTGAAACCCGTCTCTACTAAAAATACAAAATTAGCCAATGTAGTGGTGCACGCCTGTAATCCCAGCTACTTGGGAGGCTGAGATAGGAGAATCACTTGAACCAGGGACACACAGGCTGCAGTGAGCCGAGATGGCGCCACTGCACTCCAGCCTGGGCAACAAGAGCAAAACTCTGCCTCACAAAAGAGAAAAGAAAACTGCACAGCTCAGTTTCCCCCCTGGTCTCTGCTTCCCTGTACTCCGTGTCGAATCTTTCTGCCACCTGCAGGGTCTGCCTTCAGAAAACGTGTTATAGACAAAGGCAGGTGCCTGCGGTAAGGGAGAGGCCAGTGTGATTCTCCCAGACGGAAGGAAGAGTAAATATTTAGTGAAGTCTTAATGTGGTCTAGCTGGATTTGTGACTTTTCTTATCTTTAATATTTAGCTCTACCTGTTGAAGTAGTGGATATTACCGCTATTTCCCTGATTAATAAACCCGTTGTAACTTTTGTAACTTTCCTTCCACACTGATGAGCTGTAATTCCTCTATGAAGAACTTTCCATCTTCCAGGACTGGTTTGTTACCTTGAAGTATGGTACGAGAAAGCAGTTTAATGCTTAACTGTCCCTTTTTATGACTAAGTTTCAGGAGAGAGAGTTGGAGCTTACTCCAAATGTTGGCCATAGTTGAGGGTTTGTTTGGGGCTAGGGAAGGGGTTCTCTTTTCTCCAGCATCATTGTGAACTTTATGTGTTTGTCAGTTGCATGAATTATTCTATTTCCTAGTCAAATTGTCCTGTCTCGGCCAGGCACGGTGGCTCACACCTGTAATCCCAGCACTTTGGGAGGTTGAGGTGTGCAGATCACTTGAAGTCGGGAGTTCGAGACCAGCCTGATCAATGTGGTGAAACCCCATCTCTACAGAAAATACAAAATTTAGCTTGGCATGATGGCACATGTGTAATCTCAGCTACTCAGGAGGCTAAGGCAGGAGAATCACTTGAACCTGAGAGGTGGAGGTTGTAGTGAGCCAAGATCATACCACTGCACTCCAGCCTGGGCAACAGAGCAAGACTCCATCTTTAAAAAAAAAAACTGTCCTGTCTTAGCCATTGGAGCCCTTCTGATTGGCTCCCTGCCCTTGTAGCACTGTGGGTCAGCGTTTCACCCAGCGGGATGCCCGCCCACCTCTTGTGTACTTCCCATCCCAGAGCTGCAGTCAGCCCTTCCTTCACGACTCCGTTAGTGGGGAGCAGTGTTTAGAGACACGATTCAGGTGCCGTGGGTGTTTTTTGCTGCTGGGTTGTCATTGCTGTTAGGCCTCTGCTGTGAAAAATTAGGAAGTACATACTTGGTACAGCAGCAAAAAGTTCCTAGCGATTCGTTTCACTTTCGATTGGACAGTCCAGATCTTTACTGCTTTGAATTTCGAATTTCGATCTCATTGCTGGTATGGTTGGTTCTTCTCCTCTTTTCCTAGTTGCTTAGAATTCACTGACGTTATTCTACTGTACACTCACTCATATGATCGCTTCAGAGTGAGCATCCCCACAGCACAACTGCAGCTAGGGTGCTGAGAGCAGGTTAGTGTATCTTTGCAGGCTGGGTGCGATGGCTCACACCTGGAATCCCAGTACTATAGGTGATTGAGATAGATCACTTGAGGCCAGGAGTTCGAAACCAGCCTGGCCAACTTGGGAAGCCCCGTCTTTGGAAAAAATAAACAATTAGCTGGGCGTAGTGGCATACGCGTATAATCCTAGCTACTAGGGAGGTAGAGATTGCAGTGAGCCAAGATTACAACACTGCACTCCAGCCTGGGTGACACAGCAAGACTATGTCTCATAAAAATTTTAAAAAATGAAGAAGTCTGGCTGTGATTCCTGTCACCTCCATCCTGTCCCCTCCCCGCCCATGAATAACATTTCTTATGCTCCTAATTCACCTTTTCCTATTTTTGCAAATATAAGCAAATTTGCCTGTATAATCATACTCTGTCCTCCTTACCCAGAAAGTAGCATTTTATTTTATTTTATTCATTTATTTTGAGACAGAGTTTTGCTCTGTCTCCCAGGCTAGAGTGCAATGGCACTATCTCAGCTCACTGCAACCTTTACCTCCCAGATTCAGGCAATTCTCCTGCCTTCGCCTCCCAAGTAGCTGAGATTACAGGCGCCCACTACCTCGCCCAGCTAATTTTTTTTTTTTTTTGTATTTTGAGTAAAGACAGGGTTTCACAATTTTGGCCAGGCTGGTCTCAAACTCCCAACCTTAGGCAATCCACCCACCTCAGCCTCCCAAAGTGCTGGGATTACAGGCATAAGCCACCGCGCCCAACCCAAAAGGTAGCTTTTTCAAACGTAGTTTGGTCACGCACAGTCCCTCACACCTGTAATCCCAGGACTTTGAAAGGCAGAGGTAGGCAGGTCGCTTGAGCCTCAGGAGTTTGAGACCAGCCTGGGCAAACTGATGAAGCTATGTCTCTACATAAAACAAAACCAAAAATTAACCTGGCATGGTGCTACATGCCTGTAGACCCAGCTGCTTGGGAGCCTGAGGTGGGAAGATCACTTGAACCCAGGAAGGTCAAGGCTGCAGTGAGCCTTGATTGAGCCACATCACTCCAGCCAGCATGACAGTGCAAGACACTGTGTCAAAAATAAATATACGCTCATCCTTCCATATACGTGGGTTCTATACTAGTGGGTTCAACCAACTGCAAATTGAAAATACATGGTGCAAAAACAGTTAAGCGAAGTACAATAATAAAGAATAATCCATATTTTTAAACAATACAGTATAACAATTCTTTGTATAGCATTTACATTATAAGCAATCTAGTGATGATTTCAAGTATACAGGAGGATGTGCGTGGATTACATGCAAATACTACACCATTTTTTAAAAGAGACTTGAACATCTGTAGAATTTGGGATCCACAGGGGTCCTTAGAACCAGTTCGCCATGGATACTGAAGGGGAGCTGAACTATTCTGCACCCTGTTCATTTCATCTTATCGTCCTGGCAAGCTCTTCATACTGACATAGGAGGCCTTTCTCGTGTCTTTTAGGGCCGGGTAATATTGTCGGTGGGTTGTCAGTTCCTCTGCTGTTCTGTGTTACAGCTCATTAGGGTATGTATGTGTCCACACATGGACAGGAATATATAGGCTTTTGCTGTGGTCTTTTGTCTTCACGTTTCTTGCATTAGGACACTTTGTGGTGGTGTTCTAGTGGTTATCTTTTGTTATAATACCTTACGTAACCTCCTTTTTTTTTAGTTGAGGGTATGTATGTATGTTTCATGGTGTTTTTGTTCTTGTTTTGTTTTGTTTTCCATAGAGACAGCGTCTATATTGTTGCCAGGTTGGTCTTGAACTCCTGGCCTCAAGCAATCCTCCTGCCTTGCCCTCCCAAACTGCTGAGATTACAGCTGTGAGCCACCACACGTGGCCATGTGGTTTTTTGTTTGTTTGTTATTTGTTTTTTAGACTGAATTTCGTTCTTTTTGCCCAGGCTGGACTGCAGTGGTGCGATTTTGGCTCACTGCAGTCTCCGCTTCCCAAGTTCAAACGATTCTCCTGCCTCAGCCTCCCGAGTAGCTGGGTTTACAGATATGTGCCACCCTGCCTGGCTAATTTTGTATTTTTAGTAGAGACAGGGTTTCTCCTTGTCGGTCTTGAACTCCCAACCTCAGGTGATCTGCCTGCCTCGGCCTCCCAAAGTGCTGAGATTATAGGCATGAGTCACTGCGCCTAGCCCATGCCTTTGTATATTTTAATAGCAGCCCTAGGCACACACCATATTCAACAATGTTGCAGTCTGAAGATGGGGTTCCCCCTCTTTGTCTTGCGTCTCCCGCGGAGACTCACCAGACGGCAGGTTAGTTACCCCAGAACAGGACGGAGGAGGACGAGATAGGAGAACATCAGTTGGTGTCTGCTGCTCTCCACTCCACCAAGATTCAACGGCTGGAGTGGGCAGTTCCCAGAGCTGGCTGGCCCAGTTGCCAAATGGCTTGGCAAAAGACAGGCGGGGATTCCTAGACTCTGGAGCGGGTGACCTGGTTTCAGAACTTGGACAGAATGCACAAAACAGCTACTGGAGAACCAAAAATTAACGGTAGCAGGCAGATGGCAGCGGGGAGAGGGCAGAATTCAAAGTGCCTTGGAGCCAGCAGTGAGTTCGTCATTCTTCCTGTATCTTTAGCCTGGACATGAGGCAGCTCAGAAGGTAGACAAAGGCACTGAATGAGACACAGATGTTCTCTGCTTGGAGCTTGGAGAGTGGGAAAGGAGATTGCTAACCCTCAGAGAGAATGTAGGAAATCCCCTATTAGGCTTTTTCTTTTTCTTCTTTTTGAGACAAGAGTCTTGAACTGTTGCGCAGGCTAGAGTGCAGTGGCGTGATCTTGGCTCACTGCAACCTCCGCTTCCCAAGTTCAAGAGATTCTCCTGCCTCAGCCTCCCATGTAGCTGGGATTACAGGCACATGCCACCACACCCAGCTAATTTCTGTATTTTTCTTTTTAGTAGAGACAGGGTTTCACCCTGTTGGCCAGACTGGTCTTGAACTCCCGACCTCAGGTGATCTGCCCACCTTGACCTCTGCAAATGCTAGGATTACAGGTGTGAGCCACCATACCTGGATGCCTGTTAGACGTTTTTCTTTTTTTTTTTTTTTTGAGATGCAGTCTCGCTTTTGTCACCCAGACTGAAGTAGTAGCACTATCTCAGCTCACTGCAACCTCCACCTCCCAGGTTCAAGCGATTCTCCCACCTCAGCTTCCTGAGTGGCTGGAATTATAGGTGTGCACCACCACTGCCAGCTAATTTTTGTATTTTTAGTACAGACGGGGTTTCACCATGTTGGTTGTGTTTGGTGGCGCACACCTGTAGTCCCAGCTACTCAGGAGGCCGAGGTGGGAGAATCACTTGAGCCCAGTAGGCAGAGGCTGCAATGAGCTGAGATTGCACCACCACACTTCAGCCTGGTCAACAGAGCCAAGACCCCTTCTCGAAAAAAGCCAAAACATACAATACCAAGTTCATTGAGGATGGGGCACATGTGTTGGTGCAAATATAAAATGATGCAGCCACTCTGGAAAGCACTGAGGAGGCTCTTATGAAGTTAAATACACACTAATGTAGCAACCCCACTCCTGGTTGTTTACAGAAATCAAACTGATGTTCACACACAAGTCTTTTTATGTGAAATGTTTACAGCAACTGTATTCACGATCACCAAAAACTAGAAATAGTCCAGATGTCCTTCAGCAGTTGAGTGGATCAAGAAACTTTAGGGCTGGGCGCAGTGGCTCACGCCTGGAATCCCAGCACTTTGGGATCATTTGAGGTCAGGAGTTCGAGACCAGCCTCACCAATATAGTGAAACTTCATCTCTACTAAAACAAAAATTAGCCGGGCATGGTGGCGCACATCTGTGGTCCCAGCTACTTGGGAGCCTGAGGCCAGAGAATCACTAGAACCCAAGAGGTGCAGGTCGCACCACTGCACTCCAGCCTGGGTGACTGAGTGAGACTCCATCCCAAAATAAAAAGACCGAACACAGTGGCTCACGCCTGTAATCCCAGCACTTTGGGAGGCCAAGGTGGGCAGATCACCTGAGGTCAGGAGTTCAAGACCAGCCTAGCCAACATGGTGAAACCCCGTTTCTACTAAAAATACAAAAATTAGCCAGGTGTGATGACGGACACATATAATCCCAGCTACTCAGGAGGCTGAGACAGGAGAATTGTTTGCACCCATGAGGCAGAAGTTGTAGTGAGCCGAGATTACACCATTGCACTCCAGCCTGGATGACAAGAGCGAAACTCCATCTCAAAAAAAAAGAAACTGCAGTACACATACAGTGGAGCATTACTCAGCAATGAAAAGGTACCAGCTCTTGTCCCTCACAACCTGGATGAGTGGCAGAGGGGCTACACTGAGTGAAAGCAGCCTGTCTCCGAAGGTTCCAAGCCAAGTGATTCCAGTCACATGACAGTCTCCCAAGGACACATGGGTCATGACAGAAAACACTCACGGTTGCCAGGTGTAGGAGGAGGGGGTTAGGACAAAAGAGAAGCCCCCCCAGGAGTGTTCTGGACCCTGATGGTCGTGGTGGCTCCGTGAATTGATGTATTTGTTAAAATCCCTGGCGTGTACCCTGTGGAAAAATCAGTCCATTTTATTATGTATCTTTTTTTGTTTTAAGCCAGATTGAATGGGTTCCTTTCCTGGAAGATAGATGTCTGTGCAAGCAGGAAGATAATAGCTTGGAAGTCCTAACCGATCACCTTAGGGAGGGACCCCTGGGAGAACAGGCTGGCCCAACATGAAGGCATCCTGGTGGGATCGTGTATATTACAGGGACTGTCCCTCCAGTGAGGTTGCCCGCAGAAGCTGCAGGGTATATGGCACAGGTAAATGGACTTGCATTTGGGAGTTCGAGTCTTCACTTGGTTGACGTTGAGCTGGTCGCCTAAGCCTTTGAGAGGACCCTGTAATCCTTCTCTCTTGGAGTGCAGTGGAGATGGAGTCAGGCAGTCATCCCGCAGCTCCGGCAGAGCCGCCAATCACCATCGCCCTGGGCGGAGCCAGCTCTGTCCTCCCAGGGCCAAGGTCAGCGCCCCTGGAAGTTGGCCTGCAGGGCTGTACCTGCTTCTCACCTGTCTGCCTGTCCTTGGACCAGCCTAGGCTCTTTGGGGGTTCTGTGGTCCGGCTCTTGCTAGTTGCGATTTTTTGATTTTTGGACCCCTTATTCAGAATGGCCTCATTCTGGTCAGATGGTAACTAAAGTTTTGTGGGGGTTTTTTGAGACAACGTCTTACTCTGTCGCCCAGGCTGGAGTCCTGTGGTGCCATCATAGCTCACTGGAGCCTTGAACTCCTGGGCTCAAGCGATCCTTCCACCTCAGCCTCCCAGGTAGCTGGGACTACAGGTGTGCACCACCATGCCTGGCTAATGTTTTCTTTTTTTGTAGAGACAGCGTCTCACTCTGTTGCCCAGGCTGGCCTTGAACGATCTTTCCTCCTTAGCCTCCCAGAGTGTTGGGATTACAGGCATGAGCCAGCACGTCCAGACTCAACTTTGTTTTTTCACTCTTGTTGCCCAAGCTGGAGTGCAGTGGTGTGACCTTGGCTCACTGCAACCTCCACCTCCCAGATTCAAGCAATTCTCCTCCCTCAGCCTCCCAAGAAGCTAGGATTATAGGCATGCACCACCATGCCCAATTAATTTTGTATTTTTAGTAGAGACAAGGTTTCACCATGTTGGTCAGATTGGTCTCGAACTTCTGACCTCAGGTGATCTACCCGCTTCAGCTTCCCAAAGTGCTGGGATTACAGACATGAGCCACTGTGCCCAGCCTAAACTGTTGATAACATCACCTCTTGTGTTTGTTTGGCTTGTGATTGTTGTAAAGCACTTCCAAAGCCATGATTCTGTTTCATCCTCACAGCAATAGGTGCAAACCTGTGGCTTTCATATTACCCGGTACTTTGCAGGCTCAGGGCCACCTTCCCAGGACCTCCAATCTTGTAGAATGCATTGTGTCCAACAAGCAGACCCTTGCTTTGCTAAACTCAGAGTTCCTGGCTGTTCTCTGTCAGAACAGAAGGAAGGCTTTGGTTTATGTCTTCGTGGTACCCAGTGGGGACCTGGCTTCACCTCTCTTTCCTTGGCAGGAGATGGTGGGTGATTCCTGTGCCATGTGTGGTGTCATGAGGTTCTGAGGTCACGCACCTAGCACCCAGTGTCTCTTGGTGACACACCTCGGCTGGCTGCCTGTGGACCGTGAGGCGCCAGACGAGCCCTCCACATCCCTTCCCTACCCGTGCCAGGTGGATAGAGGGAGGCCGGGTCACCGCCGCCCACTGAAGTGCTGTCTTTGCCTCCCGGTCTCTGCAGACCTATGTCTCCCAGTGGCCCTGGACGCTTCTGCTCCTCGCTGTCAGTGGCTTCTGTAACTTTGCCCAGAACGTCATTGCCTTCAGCATCCTCAACCTCATCAGCCCCCTGAGCTACTCAGTCGCCAATGCCACCAAGAGAATCATGGTCATCACGGTGTCCCTGATCATGCTGCGCAACCCAGTCACCAGCACCAACGTCCTGGGCATGATGACCGCCATCCTGGGGGTCTTCCTCTACAACAAGGTGAGAGTCGGGGGAGGCTGGGTGGGGAATGAAGTCAGCCCTCAGCACCCAGGGAGTCAGGAAAGGAAGAGCCTCCCCAGAGCTGGAGGCTGGGGCCGTAGGTCGACGCTTTCTACCAACTGGTTTACCCCTTCCCACCCTGGCTTCCTTTTTCCTGCGTCAACAACCTCAGGTCCTCACATTACTGCGGCTGTGTCTCAGCTGGGGATTTCCCTCCCTCCTCTCAAAGGCTCTGTTTGGTTCGGGGTTAAGTACATGGGATGGCCCATAGGGAGGGCTTGGCTTCCTTTTCTTTTTTGAGATGGAGTCTCACTCTTGTCGCCCAGGCTGGAGTACAGTGGTTCTCCATCTCAGCTCACTGCAACCTCCGCTTCCCGGGTCCAAGCGATTCTCCTGCGTCAGCCTCCCAAGTAGCTGGGATTACAGGCGCCTGCCACCATACTCCACTAATTTTAGTATTTTTAGTAGAGACGGGGTTTCACCATATTGGTCAGGCTGGTCTCGAACTCCTGACCTCAGGTGATCCGCCCACCGCAGCCTCCCAAAGTACAGAGGCATAAGCCATCGCACCCAACCTCTTTATTTGTTCGTAACACGAGATGGAGGTCTGTCTGTTTTTCCCAGTCTCATCATCTCAAACTCCTGGCCTCAAGTGATCCTCCCACCTGGGCCTCCCAAAGCACTGGGATTACAGGCATGAGCCACTGCATCCAGCCAAGGACTTGCCTTCTGAGTCTGTCCGTGCTCTGTGGTCTGATCCATTCATGTCTGCTTTCCTTGCCCCAGCTCTATGACTTTTTTTTTTTTATTCTTTTTTGAGATAGTGTCTTGCTCTGTCTCCCAGGCTGGAGTGCAGTGGCGTAATCCAAGCTCACTGCAACCTTCGCCTCTTGGGTTCAAGCAATCCTCCTGCCTCAGCTTCCTGAGTAGCTGGGATTACAGGCACAGGCCACTACACCCAGTTAATTTTTTTGCATTTTTAGTACAGATGAGGTTTTGTCATGTTGCCCAGGCTGGTCTCAAACTCCTGAGCTCAGGTGATCCTCCCGCCTCGGCCTCCCAAAGTGCTGGGATTACAGGTGTGAGCCACCGCAGCCACCAGTTGACTGACTTTGAATTATGAGCTCTTCCTTATGCCCCAGGCATGTCCTGTCTCATTTCTCTCTTTCTGGCACAGACCAAGTACGATGCAAACCAGCAAGCCAGGAAGCACCTCCTCCCCGTCACCACATCCGACCTGAGCAGCAAGGAGCGCCACCGGAGCCCAGTGGAGAAGCCTCACAACGGCCTCCTCTTCCCCCAGCACGGGGACTATCAGTACGGCCGCAGCAGCATCCTCACAGACCACTTCCAGTACAGCCGGCAGAGCTACCCAAACTCATACAGTTTGAACCGCTATGATGTGTAGAGTCCCGAGGGCAGGACCAGACTGTTCTGTGACTCCTTCCCCTGCCCCCACAGCAGTATCAGAAACTTCTGACAATCAGTGAATGTACAACCCAGCCCCCAGCCGAGGGGACGGTGCATAACTCTGCATCAGAAGCTCGTAGGCTCCAGGCAAACCTAAACAGAGACTGGTGTCTCGTGCTCTTTCTTCCTGGAGTCTGTCATCTGAGGACTGTATCCCTGCAGAGATCTTGGCCACATTGTACCTTTCCATGTGGAATTATTCCAGATAACACCCAGGACCCTGTCTGGAAAGCCAGGATCGCTGTGGCTGCAGACCATGAGCTGGCAGTGGGAGTATCCAGGACAGTGCTTGAGAACGTCAGACTGTCCACTTTAATTCCCTGGCTCAGATATGCCCAGAACCAACAGGGTCACTGAGCAGACAAGGAGCCTGGGAGAATCATTCAGAACATCCGCAGCCACAGAGATGGATCCGGTTTCCTGGTCATCCTCTTAACGGTTCGCAAGTTCCTGGCAACGTTCCAAAGCAAAAAGCGGTTGCAATTGGCATCCAATTCCTGCAACGTGGTGCTCTGCCCTGCACGTCAGAGTTGGCGTCCACCCAGATCTAGAGGGAAAGGAGACTGCTCTCTGCCTCGTCCTCCCTCGCCAGAGCAGGGCACTTCTCTTAGGGTATCGAGAAGGATCTTCAGAAAATTATGTTCGGTGTTTCAAGCTTTATTTCCGTGGCACTTGTCTTTTCAGAGGAGTCCTCACCGCTTCTCTGATGACTTGATAGGTTGTTTGGGAGGGAGATCTTGGTTTTCTGAAGATCCTGCATTTTTTTAGGGAAGATTTTGTAGTTGTGTGTGTGGTTTTTTTGCCTTGGTCCCCATTACGGGATGCGTTAGGACTGGCTTATGGATTGAAAACCGTTTTGGTTCTAAAGGTTTCAAAACAAAAGTTCCCACTGGTGATGCCTGGGTGACACATGTTGGTACTTAGTAGGAAATAATGAAGTGTTTAAAAGCTTTGAGAGAAGCTTCAAAATGGACACGATTGCTGAAAACAGTAAATCATGAACATGATCTCAATATTTTGCGTAATAGGCAAGACCACAGCATTTTGACCTGTTTTTATGTTAGGATCTGAATCATGTTCTGGTCAGGGGAGAAGGAGCGAACACCACACTAAGATTTGGTTTGCCAAATCAGATTCTTTGGTCAAGAGTCAGTCTGGGGCCAGGTGCGGTGGCTCACGTCTATCATCTCAGCACTGTGGGAGGCTGAGATGGGCCATCACTAGAGTTTGAGACCAACCTGGCCAATGTGGTGAAGTCCTATCTCTACTAAAAAGATGCAAAAATTAGCCAGGTATGGTGGCACATGCCTGTAATCCCACCTACTTGGGAGGCTGAGGCGGGAGAATCACTTGAGCCCAGGAGGTGGAGGTTTCAGTGTACCAAGATTACGGCACTGCTCTCCAGCCTTGGCGACAGCCAAGTACCACCCCGCCCGGCTAATTCTGTCTCAAAAAAAAAAAAAAAAAAAGAATCAGTTTGGGTTTCAGCAGAAGAGACCCCAGTAGGCAACCCTGAGTGATCAGGTCCGAGCTGTGGTCTCAGTCTTTCATGGCTTCATGAAAGGACTGTGCCCTCATGGAGGGGACCACAGCTTGGCTTATGGGGTCCTAGGTGATGGCTGCCTTTTTCCTTCATCACCACACCCAGCTTTTTGCTGGCACTTGGGGGGAGAGAGCAGCAAATGAGACGTTCATTCACCCTTTATCTCCCTGTGAGCGAGATGTTTCCCTGTTCAAAGAGGAAGTAACGTCGCTTATACATGACTCCTGTTTTTTTGTTGTTGTTGGTTTTTCTTTCAATTGGAATTATGTATTTAAGATGTTGTGTCAGCTGCCACATGGGACACTCCTGGAGAGGTGACTGGCCCCCCGACCCTGTTGGGCAGTGGGTTTCTGCACCACTGGGCTCAGAAGTGCTCCTGTCCCTGCGTCTGTTATTCGCTTGCTTTGTAAATACTTTGGTCCCAGGCTGAGACGGTTGCTGCATAAAACAGGAAGAGTCAGTCCTGAAGAGTGTTGTCAGAACTTGCCGTGTGCCTTCACCGAAGGCAGTCAAGTCTGCAGTTGGATTTTTCTCAGTGGTGAATGACAAGAAACGGGGATGATTTTGCACTGTGGTGATATTACAGACGTTGTCTATACGATTACAGTACCTGATTCTGTGAATGTATCGTTGAACTGCAAAATGAATTTGAGCTCCATTCAGGCTTAATGAAATCTCTGATGTTGCTGAAATTTGTGTATTATTTTCCTTTTCCAATGCAAGACCTGCTGGTGAGAGGAAATGACTGTCTGGTTTTATTATGGTTTATAAATTAAATAAATGGGCTATTTAATTCTGTATATACATTTACAGCAAGTACATACACTGGAATGAATGAGACAATCACAGTACACCAGATCAGCACATCAAAAGACAAAGACATATTTCTGAAACTTGGAGGTCCACAGCTGGCATTGGCCTTTTTTTTTTTTTTCCTTTCCTCCCGCCCCTCCCCCCCATCCCCCCACCGCCCCAGATGAACTCTTGCTCTCTTCCCCATGCTGGAGTTCAGTGGCGCAATCTCAGCTCACTACAAACTCCATCTCCCAGGTTCAAGTGATTCTCATGCTTCAGCCTCCCGATTAGCTGGGACTATAGGCGTGCACAACCATGCCTGGCTAATTTTTGTATTTTTAGTAGACACGGGGTTTCACCATGTTGGCCAGGCTGGTCTCGAACTCCGGGCCTCAAGTGATTTGCCTGCCTTGGCCTGACATTGGCCTCTTGAAGGCTGGTTTTTTCACAGCCAGACAGTGCCCTTGCCTCATGCCCCACTCCCATACTTTCATCAGCCCTCCCTCACCCTCACTGCTGGGCTCTGTGGTAGAGAATTCCCTTTACCCATCCAGAGTATGTTCTGGCAGGCAGCACTGACTCTAACCTAACTCCTTCATTTTATAGAAGGAGGCGTGGTGCCTCCCGCGGCATTTCTGAATCATGTTTGTTCACTATGGTGAGACACACTACAGAATTTTTAAGCACCTTATTTTAAGGCATTCATTCTAGGAACAGTCCAGCCCCGGTCACAAAGGGGACAAGCCACATTCGTTCAAGTGAGGCAGTGTCTGCATTTTGCTGTGTATCTGTCCTTCATCACCCAACAGGCCCTTTGCTACAGCTGCAACATTGCCAGACCCCAACATCTTAAGGTCTAACAGCCTGAAGCACATAGAACATTATTAAAAGACCTGAAAATATTACAATTTTTCTTCAATTGTCACCTATTTTCAAGACTTAAATGCTATAGATAGTTCTGCAGAAATGATGTGTATATTCATTACTGGCGTTTACCAAAAATAAATGATGGTCTCCAGGGAATCAAAATTGGTCCCACTTTATCAGCAAGGGTCTTTTTTGGAGTGACCTTGTCTTGAGTGTGCCCAGCAACAAAAGGTGGAAGGACAAAGAGCAAGTCAACTTGGCTCTCACGTCTGGATTTATTGCAACCTTTGTTTTTTCTTCTGAACCAAAAACAAGGATGTGTGATTTGTGAATTTCCTACAATGAAAATAGGATCACAGCTAAGTTAATGACGTGACTTTACTGAACAGAGTTAACTTGGGAAGTCCAGGAACGTTGTGGTAGCTGTGCTCATGAAAAAAAAATTTTTGTATGTTTGTTTCATGTTTTTTGAGACAGGGTCTCATTCTGTCGCCCAGGCTTGAGCACAGAGATGGAATCCGGGCTATCAGCAGCCACAGCCTTCCAGACTCAGTGGATCCTCCCGCCTCAGCCTCCCAAGTAGCTGGAACTACAGGCACTTGCCACCACACCTGGCTAATGTTTGTATTTTTTGTAAAGATGAAGTTTCACTATGTTGCCCAGCTGGTCTTAAACTTTAAGCCTCAAGCGTTCTGCCCTCCTGGCCTGTTTTGTTTTTGGCTTAAGAGACACAGTCTCACTGTATTACCCGAGCTGGACTGCAGGGACACAACCATAGCCTACCACATCATCAAACTCCTAAACTCAAGCCTCCCAAGTACCTGAGGCAGGTACACACTACCACACCCAGCTAATTTTAAAAAAATTTTTAGTGATGGGCATCTGTATTGCCCAGGCTGGTCTGGAACTCCTGGGCTCAAGTGATCTGCCTGCCTTGGCCTCCCGAAGTGCTGGGATTATAGGTGTGAGCCAACGTGCCCGGCCTGAAGGCATGTTTGAGTACTTACAGCCAAGCCTGAGTACCCGCTACAAGACCAGCCCAGTGGTGAGCTTTTCACACACGATACCTTTGTGAGTTTTCTTTGCCTTGTTTTTCAGGTGAAAATGAGGCCCAGCGGGGTCAAGTCACTCGTTGGATTACACAGCTCAGTGACTTGGCTCACTGCAACCTCCACTTGCAGGCTCAGGCAATTCTCCTGCCTCAGCCTGAACAGCTGTGATTATAGGTGTGAGCCACCAAGCCCTGTTAATTTTTGTATTTTTTAGTAGAGACGGGGGATCTTCAGGTTCAAGCGATTAAATCTGCTCCCGAACCCATTTTTCCCCATTACTCAAACCATTCCCAGCAGAGAATTTCAAACAGTGAAGGGTTTGAGTTTCTGCTAAAACTATTGCCTATGTCCTTTCCATTCATAATCCTTTTGTTTAGTGATTTACTAAGCACTTACTTGTGTCAAGCAGCAGGAAGCAGATATGTAAGCCTCCTACCCTCAAAGCACTCAGCCTAAATCAAAGTACCACATGGGAGCTACTTAAAAACGCTAAGACCCGGGGGACAGGGGACTAGGAGGAGGCGGCGGGGCTCATGCCTATAATCCCAGCAGTTTGGGAGGCCAAGGCAAGCTGATCTCCCGAGGTCAGGAGTGCGAGACCAGCCTGGCCAACATGGCAAAACCCTGTCTCCAATAAAAATACAAAAATTACCCGGGCGTGGTGGCACGCACCTGTTATCCCAGCTACTTGGGAAGCTGAGGCAGGAAAATCGCTTGAACCTGGGAGGCAGTGAGCTGAGACAGCACCCCTAAACGCCAGCCTGGGTGGCAGAGCGAGACCCTGTCTCAAACCCGCTAAACTTTAGTTACCATCTGACACTGACCAGAATAAGGCCATTTTGATTAAGGAGTCTGGAAGTCAAGAAATCACAACTAGCAGACATGTGGGCCATGGAACCCCCTCAGTGCAGCTGGGCCCCAACACTGGCTCTTCTCACTCGGGGTGTCCACTTTACTTGATGGAGAGTATCTGCAGCAGCCTCTGTCTACCAGCTCTTTCTACTGCTTTCTTCTGACCAGTGGATTCTGGTTTGACCCTCTGAAATGAGCTTGGGAGAGGCCCCTGTAATGTTATTTTCAGTCAGATAAACGGGAAGTCTTGCTCTGTCACCCAGGCTGGAGTACATTGGTGCTGCAACCTCCCCCTCCCAGTTTCAAGCGATTCTCCTGCCTCAGCCTCCTGAGTAGCTGGAATTAAAGGGACCTGCCACCACGCCTAATTTTGGTATTTTCAGTAGAGATGGGAATTTCACCACGTTGGCCAGGCTGGTCTTGAACTCCTGACTTAAGTGATCCGCCCGCCTGAGCCTCCCAAAGTGCTATGATTACAGGCATGGGCCACAGTGCCAACCTGCATTTTAAACAATCTGAAACAAATGTATGAAAGTAGTGACCATGGGTATAACTATCTTTCTAGAGGGCAGCTGAGCAATACCAGTATTGAATTTACACACCCTTTGACTCAGCACTAGATTTACATCTACTAAGACACTTTTTTTTTTGAGACGAAGTCTCATTCTGTCACCCAGACTGGAGTGCAGTGGCGTGACCTCGGCTCACTGCAACCTCCACCTCCAGGCTCAAGCAATTTTCGTGTCTCAGCCTGAGTAGCCGGGATTACAGACGTGAGTAACCATGCCCAGCTAATTTTTGTATATTTTAGCAGAGACTGGGTTTCTCCAGGTTGGCTAGGCTGGTCTCGCACTCCCAGACTGAAGTGATACGTCCGCCTTGGCCTCCGAAAGTGCTGGGATGACAGATGTGAGCCCCTGCACCCAACCCTATATACACTAAGACACTTTTAATAGCATCCTAAAAATGAAACCAAGCCAGGAGACTAGTCTCGCTTCAATAAGTTACGGTAAATCCACAACACAGTATCCTATTGCACCCTAAAAAATGACAATAACAGCCCGGCATGGTGGCTCACGCTTGTAATCACAGCACTTTAGGAGGCTGATCACTTGCGATCAGGAGTTTGAGACCTGCCTGGCCAACATGGTGAAACCCCGTCTCTACTAAAAATACAATTAGCCGGGTATGGTGGCACATGCCTGTAATCCCAGCTAATGGAGAGGCTGAGGCAGGTGAATCACTTGAACCCGGGAAGCAGAGGTTGCAGTAAGCCAAGATCGTGCCACCGCACTCCAGCCTGGGCAACAGAGACTTTGTCTCGAAAAAAAAAAAAAGAATGGCTGGGTGAGGTGGCTTATGCCTGTAATCTCAGCACTTTGGGAGGCTGAGGTGGGCAGACCACAAGGTCTAGAGATCAATACCATCCTGGGCAGCATGGTGAAACCCCACTCTACTGAAAAATACAAAAATTAGCTGGGCGTGGTGGTACATGCCTGTAGTCCCAGCTACTCGAGAAGCTGAGGCAGGAGAATCGCTTGAACCCAGAAGGCGGAGGTTGCAGTGAGCTGGGATCGTGCCACTGCACTCCAGCCTGGCAACAGAGCGAGACTCCATCTCAAAAAAAAAAAAGAAAAAGAATGACAATACTGATTCATTAACCTGTTCTGGCTGAAGAGCCTATTAAGAATCCTGTAAATGCTGTGTATCTTCAACCCTAGAAAAGGCATTTATTTAGCTATCAATTTCATTAGTTCATGGTTCTCTGAAATCTGTCTATTGGAGATCCCAAATTAAAATTAAGACTTCTTGATGTAGCTGGACACAGATGGCTCACACCTGTAATCCCAGCACGTTGGGAGGCTGAGGCAGATAGATCATGTGAGATAAAGAGTTCAAGACCAGCATGGCCAACACCGTCAAACTCCGTCTCTACTGAAAATACAAAAATAAGCCGGGTGTGGTGGTGTGCACCTGTAGTCTCATCTCCCCTGGAGGCTGAGGCAGAAGAATTGCTTCAGCACGGGAGGTGGAGGTTGCAGTGAGCCGAGATCACACCACTGCACTCCAGTTTGGGCAAGAGTACAAGACTGTCTCAAAAAAAATAAGATCCTCCATCTTCATGAGAAATTATGAACCAGAGGACATTTTTTTTTAAAAAAAGAAAAAAACCCTTGATCTTGCCTCCTGGCCTGCAGAGCCTAACATATTTGCTTTCTATCCTTTTTATACATAAAGTTTGTTGATTCCTGACCTACACCAACACTTGATGTAGAGCAGGCAACCCATAAGTGTCCGGTGGAGAAATGCTGTAACAATAAAAATGAAAGGAATCTAAATTACATGTGCATGTATTTGCACAGAAAAAACAGGCTGGGTACAGTGGCTCACGTCTATAATCCTGGCACTCTGGGAGGCCGAGGCGGGAGGATTACTTAAGCACAAGAGTTCAGAGCTAGTGAGCTATGATCATGCCACTGCACTCCAGCTTGAGCCACAGAGCGAGACCTTGTCTCAAGAGAAAAAAGGAAAAAGGAAAAAAAAAAAAAAAAAAAAAAGGGAGGTATAGCCAACCAAGCATTCACCATCTCAAAAGGATCAGTTATAACGGACGTCCACAGCAGAAGTTTGCTGCTTTTGGCTATCTTTCCCCACAATTAGCAAGGGTTGGCTTCATCATTTTAGAAATAACGCAACTGCATCTTTTAGAAAGGCGCTGTGGCCTCTAGGCCAGCAATTTGAGGGTATGGGATGGGAATACCGCGCCCCAAAGTCTTCCTGACCAAATAGTGGACCGGAAGAAAGCGAGAAGAACGTTTTGAACCTAAATAAGTCCACTTGCAATCCTTATCAAGCTCGTCGCCTCCCAGTTCGTCGCCTCCCAGTTCTGCTCCACCTCCGGGCCGGTAGGGGAGGATGTGACAGTCGCCGCAGCCCGGGATCCACCGGAGGCACCTCACCTCGTAGGCTCCTCACTGTGCCCGCGTCCCCCGGAGGTAGCAACCGGCCAGCCCGTCGGGCTGCGACGGGGACCTGCGGGAACGGCCCCGCGAGAACAGCCCCTCGCCCCCATGTATCGGCTAAAAGCCATCCGCGCCGTTCCAGCCCAGCCGCGGCTTTGCGCGACGGTGCCTACTCTGCGCATGCGCCAGAAAACCTCTGCGCGTGCGCCTCGCTAGCCCCTCCCGTGCGCCCGGCCTCCCGCGGCGTCTTCCCGCCTGTCTCCTGCTCTCACTTCCGGAGTTTCCCAGCGACGGCCGTAAGTGGCGAGCGGAAGCAGCCTTAGAAGCCCGCTGTAAACGGCTCTCTCGCGCCACTTCCGGCCGGCTTTCGCAGACGGCGCTGGTGGTCGATCGTGAGGCGCGGAGGACGTTCCCCGCGGCCGGAGCCATGGAGATGCCGCTGCCCCCCGATGGTGAGACCCAGACCGGCTGAGAGACCGTTCTCTCTCCCTGGAACCTCCTGTTGGCCGATCCCGCCTCCCAGGGTCCCCGGGTCTGGGAGGGGGCGGGGCTCGGCCTCGCGGCTTCGCCTGCGGCCTCACCCGTGGGTTCCCGCATTCCCGGCGAGCGTGTGGCCTCTATCGGGACCCGTACAAAGGCGGCCTCTTCGGGGCACCCTTAGGGTCCCAGGCACGGCGGACCGGGGCTGGGGCGCTGGGGCCACTGGCTTTGGGCAGTCCTCGCTCACGCCGCCCCGCGTGGCCTTTTCTCCGTCCTCCAGACCAGGAGCTTCGAAATGTCATCGACAAGCTCGCCCAGTTCGTGGCTCGCAATGGGCCCGAGTTTGAGAAGATGACGATGGAGAAGCAGAAGGACAACCCTAAATTCTCGTTTTTGTTCGGAGGCGAGTTCTACAGTTACTACAAGTGCAAGCTGGCGCTGGAGCAGCAGCAGCGTAAGTTTCTTCCGGCACTCAGACCGCTTCATCGAGCGCTTCCTTTCTCGGATTCCAGTCCGGGCTACACAAACCTCTTCTTTCTTTCGGGTCGTTTACTGTCTCTGCAGTGAAGCAGCTCAGTCCCCACGATTCCTATTCCGCTGTTCCCACGGCCTTGCACAGAGCGGCTGCCGGGTCCGACTGTAATGGAGAACAACGAGGTTATCGATCCTCCTGGGCTCTGGATCAGGGACGTTGCTATTGCTTTGCAGACTGAGGACTGCGATCAGCAGGAGTAGCGTGACTGTTGGAGTGTTTTCTAGGGAGGAAAGTATAGAGGCCGGATGGGAACCCATGGGACAGGCACTGTCCAGCCACCTTTGCAGGCTCTCTGTGGGTTCAGCAAGGCTTTTGTGTATTTCAGATGCCTGCAGCACAAATCCAAAAGAATTATGCCTCTAAGTTTTAGTTCTTGGCAAGCGTTTATCAACGTTCGTTCAGTTGGGCTACAGGATTCCAGTCCTTCTCTCAAAAAGGTTAAAGTGAGGTTAGGAAGCAGAGCTGGCCATTGAATAATGGATAGTCACCAGGTGTTGTGACTGCTCAGGACAGGTATCACATCTGTCATGTTCTGTACCCAACCCCCAGTCTCTAGATACATTGTTTAAATGAATAGTAGGAGTTTGCCAGGTAGAAGAACATTGAGAGGTGGTTGTCCCCTGAACTACATGTTCCCCGAGGCCAAACAGACCTTGTTTAGGTCATTGTGCTTTAATACATAACACATAGTTGGTGTTCGATTAAAAAGCTTGACCAGCACTGTGGGAGGCCGAGGCGGGTGGATCACGAGGTCAAGAGATCGAGACCATCCTGGTCAACATGGTGAAACCCCGTCTCTACTAAAAATACAAAAAATTAGCTGGGCATGGTGGCGCATGCCTGTAATCCCAGCGACTCAGGAGGCTGGGGCAGGAGAATTGCCTGAACCCAGGAGGCGGAGGTTGCGGTGAGCCGAGACTGCGCCATTGCACTCCAGCCTGGGTAACAAGAGCGAAACTCCATCTCAAAAAAAAAAAAAAAAAAAAAAGCTTGAAAGGAGGCTGGGTGCAGTGGCTTATGCCTGTAATCCCAACACTTTGGGAGGCCAAGGCGGGCAGATTACTTGAGATCAGGAGTTCAATACCAGCCTGGCCAACATGCTGAAACCGTGTCTTTACTAAAAATACTAAAAAAAAAAAAAAAAAAAAACTTAGCTGGGCGTGGTGGTGGGCACCTGTAGTCCCAGCTACTTGGGAGGCTGGAGAATCGATTGGACCTGGGACGCGGAGGTTGCAGTGAGCTGAGGTTGTCCCACTGCACTCCAGCCTGGGGCGAAAGAGTGAGACTATCTTTAAAAAAAAAAAAAAAATACAGAAAAGAATGTGATTGTATAGGGGAAGAGTTTGATCTGGAGTGTTAAATGCCAGGGGAAAGTTTGGGTTTTCTCACTCAATCCAGGAGTTTTTCTGATGCGTGTTTAGCTTTGAGATATGGGGGAGGGGGGTGAGCAGGGGCAGATGAGCTGGCTGAAATCGTAAGCAAAATATTGTTTGTGCTGTGTGTTTCTAGTGCAGTCCTTCCTTAGCCCCAGCACAGCAAGTTTAAAACCATTTCTAAATGCATCAGGAAGCCACAAGAGAGTTTTAAACAAGGGAGGGAGTGGATTGGGTTTGTGTGGCCGGTGGTGGAGGATAGGCTAAAGGGGCCAGCCTGGGGACCAGTGAGGCCTGCAGGGGAGGGAACAGGGCAGTTGCTCAGGTGAGACATGGTAGGGTCTGAATTAAGTCAGAGGGTTGAGTCTGAGGGAGTGAGCATGGGGGACAGGTCAGGTGAAGGGGTAGAATCCCTGAACTTGGGCGCCAGGTGGATATTGACGACCTGATGGCATGATGAGCAGGGGAGGAAGACACCTCAGATCAGATGACGCTTTGGCTTGGATGACTGTGAGCCAAGGGCTGCTTTCCCTTTCTGCAGGGGGCCACTTCCACCCTTCCCGCACGGGTGGTCAAAAATAGGGGCCACTTGAAAGTTGGTGCCATTATAGGGAAGGAGAGTGTGCTTATAGCCCAGGAAGATTGAGGCCAGGAAGTGCTTTCTGGGGGCGATGATAGCTTGGCTATTTCTGAAGGGTGTGTCGGGGTTGGCCAGGTGAAAACGAAGAGAGAAAAGTGTTTCAGGCTGAGGAAGGAGCCCTTGGAGGGAATGAGGAACCCAGAGCTTAAGCTGGCTAAAGTCCAGAGTAGGAGGGCTTCTTGGAGTGGCTAGAGGTGAGCGTGCAGAGTCGGGGCTTGCCTTGGGGAGGAGTTGAGGACCCTGCTTGTGAGGGAGTTAGGACTGCATCCTGGAAGCGTGGGAGAGACGCGTGAAGGGTTTTGGTCCGGTTCTGAGGCTGGGTTAGCCACAGCACAGCCAGCCCTGCACCCCGCTCCTTGAAGACTGGGCTTCACCTCCTCTAGAATGGAGCTTCTCTAACTCTGTGGTGAAGGACCAGTTTTTGGGTTTTGTTTTTTTAAGTTTCTAACCTGACCTGGACCTAAACTTTTGCAAAGCACAGTAATAATGTGGACCGTGAACCATCACATTGCTAGAAAGGTTTGGAAATGCTCCCTTGCTGGTTCCGTAACCGTCTGTCACCTCTGGGTAGCCCAGAGACCACTCCTTAAGTGGCAGTACCGTGAATGCCTTGTTGAAAAGAGGTAGAGGGGTGGGACGTGACGCAGGAAGACTGTTTCTGGGGTGATGCGGGTGACAGTGGAGCTGTGGTGTTGGCAGCAGTGACACAGACTGATTGGAGCATGGTCTAGGAGGTTGCCTTCACACCTTTTGGCTCGTCAGTGGGAGGCACATGCACCTTCTGGCCTGGATTTCTGGGTGGATGGTGGTGCCAGCTATGGTATGGGGAGCACAGAAGGGGACATCGGTGCATGGGGCAAGAGGAAGCACAGGCCCTGTGGAAACCCAGCGGGCCAAAGTTTGCAGAATCTGGAATGGAGATGATGGATTTAGGAATCATGCTGTGCAGACGGCAATTGCAGCCGCAGGAGTGAATAGCTCATATTCCCCTGGGGGTTGCATAGAGCGTAGGATGGGCTCGGAACACAGGCTTTGCACCCCGACATCTAAGGGTCCGACAGGAGAGAGGTTGGTAAAGGAGGAGGAGGAGGAAGGGACTGAAATGGAGGCCAATGGAGACAAGGCCCGGCGACAGGCCCGTGGGGCTGAGTGAGGGTGTGCTCAGCTGCCTGGGACAAGGAGTGGCAGGCAAGTGCCAGGCTGAGATAAAGGGGAGGTGAAGATCTAGAGTAAGTCTTGGCTGAGAAGTTGTTTAGAGAGGGTCGTGGGGTGAAAGGAGAGGTTTCAACTCAGAATATTCTGATGTGCGTGTGTGTGTGTGTGTGTGTGTTTGAGACGGAGTCTCTCACTCTGTCACCCAGGCTGAAGTACAGTGGCGCCATCTGAGCTCACTGCAACCTCCACCTCCTGGGCTCAAGTGATTCTTTTGCCTCAGCCTCTCAAGTAGCTGGGATTACTGGCACCCACCACCACACCTGCCTAATTTTTTGCATTATTAGTATAGAGACAGGGTTTCGCCATGTTGGCCAAACTGGTCTTGAACTCCTGATCTCTGGTGATCCACCCGCCTCAGCCTCCCAAAGTGCTGGGATTACAGGCGTGAGCCATGGTGCCTGGTAAAAGGCCTGTAAAGAGGGAGGAGTTGGAGAAATGAGAGAGAGAAGAAATGTCCTGAAGCAGTGTCCCCGGGGCGATGGGTGGGGTGGGATTCAGTGCAGAAGTCAGGGGTCGGGCCTGGTGCAGTAGCTCATGCCTGCAATCCCAGCACTTTGGGAGGCCAAGGTGGGCGGATCACGAGGTCAGAAGGAGTTTGAGACCAGCCTGGCCAACACAGGCCCAGCTAATTTTTGTATTTTTAGTAGAGATGGGGTTTCATGGTGGCACAGTCTTCTCTTGGGAGGCTGAGGCAGGAGAATCGCTTGAACCCAGGAGGCGGAGGTGGCAGTGAGCTGAGATTGAGCCACTGCACTCCAGTCTGGGCCACAGAGCGAGACTCTGTCTCAAAAAAAAAACCGGTCATCCTGTAGGGTGCCCATGGGTGCACAAACTGGACGGCACAGCCCTAAGACTTGACTTGAGCACCCAGTGAGGGGCTGTGGGTGACACCTTCCACCCCCTGCCCCACCTCCCTTATCTTTGGCTTTGTTCAA